AACTGGGCAATTTTTGTTCCAGTCTTTTGGTTCTTTCTGCTTTCCTCACTTGGGTAACCAGAGCTAGAATGCTTAGGGCCTGTCTCAGACAATTGATTATGATGTCTGATCTCCTCATTATCCCCAAGCTTTCTATCTAGATCTCCCTTTGGGCATATGTTATGTTCTGACTTGATTTGTGGTTTGGGGCATGTTTGCCAGGTTTCTCCACTTAGCTTGCTAACTCATTAGCAAGAGAACTAGACCTTCCATACCCCTGTGTCCTCCTCCTCTTGTAACTAGATTTATGAAATCAAAATCTTAAACATACACTGATCAAAACCAGCCTAGTAATAGGTATATTTTTAATCTTCCAGATTTATTTCATTCTAAGAAATCAAGTCAAATCTACTTTCTCCAGAGACAGGTTAATTTAACAGTTAACAGCAGGCTGAATGACCCAATAGTTGGAAAGAGTGATTAAATAAGTCTTTTTTTTTTTTTTTAACTTTGTAAATACGGTTCCAAGATATCTAGCATACCCATCAAAGGAGTGGAGAGAGTTGAATATTTTAAGTATTGTTGCAGTTAACTGTTATTTCAAAAACCAACAATATTAAAAAAATAAAAAAATAAATAAAAACCCAACAATATTAGTGCCTGAAGCACTGAATACTAGTGCCTGAAGCAATAGTAGTATTTATTTCAAGACCAGAGTCTGTAGATATGAGGTTGCTTGTTTGGTTAAATAGTTCAACAATGTTAAGACAGATGCCTGTTCTTTTTATTTTTCTGGTCTGCTACCTTCACTGTGTTGATAGTATCTTTTCCCATGGCTGCAAGATGGCTGCTGTGGCTCCAAGCATCTAATCCTCACCAAAACATCCCAAAAGAAAGGAAGCAATGGGGGTGGGGGAAAACAAGAGAGTTCTATTCGTGGGCTGGTTTGGACCCCAAAAGTCTTGCCTCAGTTGGAAGAAAGGTATAAGGAACCCCTTGGAGTCAGATCAAGTCTGCCTTAACTTCCATTCACTCCAGAAGCAGCTAATAGTGCCACAGTGGTCTAGAATGAGGGTGAGTAGAGAAGGTTTTCCCATTGCCTCCTTTACCCCTCATGGAGGGAATCCTGAAACTCAGTGGTCTTGGCAGGTGACAAAGAAAAACACATCTACTAGAGAAGGGTATTTTGCATCCACTACATTCTATAACCTAGGCCATCTTGGTGCAAAGACTACTCAAAATGCTGGTAAGACGATACATTTGCTACCACCATGGCACTTGGATCTAATGCGTGGGTTTGGAGACTTGAATATTTTGCAGGGTCTGCCCTAAAATGAACTCCCTCTTTCTTTGCATAGGTTAGTTCACCTCTTATATCTGGGAATTCATCCCTTACATCTGAAGGCTTAGTAGCAATTGAGTTGGGGTCAAGGGCCTGAGGACTCTGGACACAAGGAACAATGCATGTAAAGCCATGTAGGTATGACAGTATTATCTGCTCAGGGCACTGGCATTAATGGAGTGGCTGGAAGACAGGGCCTGGGAAAGGAGTGGGAAGAGGTGAGACCTAAGGGAGCTGAGAGCCATGGCCACACATGAGGATTCATGCAGGTAAACAAAATGGTCCAGGAGAACCCAGAGGAGGGGTGGCTGGGCCTAGAAGGGCTGGCAGAAATCTTAGATCTGGGGCCAGCACAAACCTGATGGTCAGCCAGGACCCAGGGGTATGGATGTAGAGTTGAGTTAGCCCTCTGCCATCCCAGTTCTTAAATATCGTGACTATTGCCTCTACCCTGGAGGGGTGGGTGAAGGATTTCCAGACAGAGAAGGGGACATGGGCTTTCCAAGGAGAGCTTATACAAAGGTCATCAGAGAAGGAAGAGATGGAAATGCACAGAGAGGATGAGGCTAGGGGCATGGAGGGGCCGGACAGTGAAAGGCCTTTTGTGGCAGGCAAAGAAGTTTGCACTCCATCCTGTAAGCCTCAGGAAGACCATAAAGGGTAGACCTAATCCTGCCCATCCAGTCATCCCCCTGCAAAATGAACCCCTAACTCAGCCCTAGGACCCAGGACCCTTTTACCTCTTAGCAGATAGGGAGGGCATTAGAAAAGGTAGGGGGTGGTAGTGAGACCAAAGACTTGGCAAAAATAATTGTCTTGTTTTATTTCTCTTAAAAAGAGAGAAGAAGAAAGGGGAAAAAGGAAGAAAGGAAAGGGAGGGAGGAAAGGATGGAGAAAGGCAGTAAGAGAAGAGGAACAAAGATAAGAAAAAAGAGTCAAGGAAAGAAAAGAGCAGTGGAAACCAATATGGCAAAACTGGTAAGATTTGTCAAGCTTGGATAATGGATACAGAGATTATTGTCATTATGGTTATTGATTTATTACAGCTTTCCCATTTGAGATATTTCATTTTTTAAAAAAAGGGAACACAGGTGGAAATATAAATAATCCTTTTCCTGAGAAACTTTTTGACATATGATATGAAAACGCCTAAGAATTCTTATTTTTGACCCAGTAGTTCCATGCCAGGATGTGCTGATGAAGATTTATATACAAGAAATCTACTTTCTATTGCTTCAAGTTCAGGGAGAACTTGTTATCTCATGGGAGCAGGGGGAGGGTAGAGATGTGCTAAATTAACTTCCCAAATAAACAAACGAGCTATTTTAATGGAAGTCTTCCCCAAAGACCTTGTACCTGCCCTGGTACAACAAGTAGAGTATTCTGAAACACAACTAAACTTTTTCTTGATGATGTTTTATTAATATAATTAGCAATCAAAGTACATGTTAATAGAGTCATTGATCCAAAAAACTGTGGAGGTGTGAGGGGCGTTTTGCCTCTACACACTATTCCCATAGATAGCTCATTTCTCTGCCTCTCTTTGTTCTTCTTTTCCCTTTACAGTTGGCTGTCATTTCTCATTACTCTTCACCTGAACTCTCATTAGAAATCATCCATCTAATCAGAATAAAACACAACAAAACCAAAACCAGATAACCGAGTTTATAGACATGGCATCTAAAATAGATCTTACGTCTGAACACAAAGGCCTATTGGTCTCTCTCCGGCCAACTGGGGTACCTCTTAAGGATGTTCTTTCTTGGGTCCAACCTCAACCCCTCCTAATACGAAATCTCTGGACTCTGCAAGCATTTCATGTGATTATAATGAATATTAAAATTTGAGGATCACTGGCTTATGGATTCTCCTATGAAAAAAATATCCATGAACTCAAAGCCATATATATAGGGCCCACGGGTTGTTCCGACAGGCTGCTGTGTAAGGCTGGATGTGTTCAGGAGTCAGATGACTTGGTCTCTGAGCCATGCCAGGTGTTAAATACTCTGAAAATCACATTGGCTTAGAGACTTCTTCTTCTTCTTCTTTTTTTTTTTTTTGACATGGATCACTAGAATGGGGGAGGGAGGCAGTTTAAGATGAGATTTACTTCCCCGCCTCTCTGTCTTCAGGTTAGCTGAGATTTCTGACAAGCTGCTCTTGGAGAATTAATATCTATCTGGTCTCATGATCTGGGAAGAAATAGGGTGATATTTAGTCATATTTTCCAAATATGAGACCATCTTCACAGACTGTCTGCTACAAGCAAAACAATGCCTTTGTCAGAGATAAACTGGCCACCCCTTCTTATTTTGGCTTATGCCTCTGGGACTGAACACTTCATATTATGCTCAATTATAGTAAACTTCAAGATATTTACTGCACCTTATTTAGTTATTTTTATCAAAATGCTCACTCTCGTGTTTTGTATGTTCATTAAAAAAGTTATAAAAGCAGTATATACATCTACTGTTTCTTTAAAGAGAAGATTTGCAGATTTTTATCTTGCATTTTAAGTTAACAAGACTCCAAATGTCTTAAATATGCTGATGGTCAACCAAATAGGCATGCACAAAAGGCTAATGGAACATGAATATCATATTTAGAAGTGTCTTACCACCAGTCACAGCCTCAGGCAACAGCAACAAGAAACCACTCCAGAATGAAAATACTGGTATATTTGTATAATGCAAAGAGAAATACAGATATAAATCCTCAAAACGTAAGGTACATTAATAAAAATGTAGCATTATAAGCAAAAAATATTATACAGTACTTGCAGAATTTAGTCTTTCCATTTAAGATTACAATATGTCTAACAAGTATTTAAAATTATGGTTGTCATTATTAATTTAAAATATCCATCAGATGAACAGCACAGCTTAACCTAGCAAACATTTTAAGGAAATGCTTTGTCTTGTAGAAGTAGAGTATCATTATGTTCCATTCTTTTATACCATGAACAAAAGAAGAACCATTTTCAAAGTGGAAATTCGTTTCATAAGACAGAATAAAACTGGGCTTCTCAAAGCACAAGCTGCTTCCCTAAACGTATTTTAATCTTTATTGGCAAAAAATACCTAAGCAATTCTGATTTCGTACTCTGCTTCTCAGAGCCTTCCCAATCCGTGAGCCACAATCAGCACAAAAACATGCAATACTGTATTTTCTCCACACCATCACTAACCAAAACACTTTTACTCTTTTAAAAGTTACAATTTTACAGAAATGTTTCCACTCAAGATTGGTATAATACAGAGAGCAGTTGTAGCTGATGTGTATTTTCTAGTAGTAGAAAGTAAGGTAGGAAACAAATCCCATTACTTGTTACTGCTTACAAACACCGCCTTGCAACTTTACATTCCCGTTTCTGCTCTTTAAATTCATTATCAATACCGAACAAAGTTTTCAACCCTTTCAACGAGCCAGGGCAGCGCAACGGACCCCACGGCCGGCCGGCAACTCAGAGGGAACTTAAGACAATTTCTCCCCCTTTCTCCTGCTTCCAACAGAAGACCCTCAAGAAGTCAAACTTGTGAAGTCCCCCTAGGTTCCTCTACTTCACTGCAAAATGTAATGCCACTTGAGGTTGTCAAAAATAGCTTCTGTAGAAAACTGGCCATGGTCTTTAGGAAACGTTGCATGAAGAAAATTAGTTTAGCCTGTATTAAAAAAAGAAAGGAAGAAAGAAAAACACATAGAATAAAAGACGTCAGTCAGTACCAGTACAAAGACTCCAAGGCCTATTGTCAGGATGAAAATACACTTAGGACAAATGCACGGAGCTGGGGTGGGGCTGGAACATCGAAACCCATCCCTCCCCCTCGAAAAAGTAGTCTCTCTGTACAGCCCAAGTGCTGATCCACTTGGAGAGTCATCTCGAAGGCAGCTTAGAAAATCAACAAGGGGGCCGCAAGGGGAGGGACGACGTCACTGTCCGAGCCAAAGGGAAAGGCCGGGTGGGGCGTCCGTGGCTCGAGAGCCCCTCATAAGCCGATGCCTTTCAAGTCGCAGGGGAGGGAGGCCTGGGTGGTCTGGGGGCTCTGGCAGCAGGGGAACTGGGCCCTGAAGCAGTCCCTCAGCTCCCTGTTAAAGAGGAAGCACACAACAGGGTTGATGCCGGCCTGTGCGAAGGTCAGCCACACGGAGGCCGTCAGGTAGGCCTGGGGGACGGCGCCGGGCCGCACCAAGACCCGCAGGTAACTGGCCACGACGTAGGGCCCCCAGAGCAGCAGGAAGAGCAGGGTGACGGCGTAGAACATCTTGCACAGCCTCTTCTCCGTCTTGAACTCCTCGAGCACGAGGAGGCGGCGCGCGCCGCGGCCGGGCCCCGCCGGCCGGATGCCCACGAGCGCCGGCGGCGTGGGCCCGCGGCCGAAGCCCGCCGTCCAGTTGGCGGCCGCCTGGCCGGTGGCGCCGGGGCCGTGGAAGGTCCAGTCGTGGCTGACGGCGGGCACGAGGCGCGCGGGCCGCATCTTGCGGCGGTCGTGGATGAAGAAGAGCAGGCGGAGGTAGACGAGGTGCGTGGCGCCCACGACCACGGCCAGCAGCAGCAGGAAGCCGAGCGCGCCGGGGGCGCCGTCGGGCCGCTGCTCCAGGGCGCACGGCGCGTCCTCGTCCTCGCCGCCGCCGCCGCCGTCCAGCACGGGCGGGAAGGCCGCGGCCAGCGCCAGCGCCCAGGCGGCGCACACCAGCATGGCGGCGCACGGCCAGCCGGCCAGGCGCTCGGCGTAGAAGCGGTGGTGCGCGATGGCCAGGTAGCGGGTGACGCCCACGCCGAGCAGCAGGAAGGCGGCGTGGAAGCAGAAGAGCGCGGCCAGGAAGGCGAGCAGCTTGCAGCCCAGCGCGCCCGGCGGCGCCCCCGCCGCGGCGGCCGCACGCCGCGCCGCCAGCATGACGGCCGGGAGGCAGGCGAGCGCGCGCAGCCCGTCGGCCAGGCACAGGTCGAGCAGCAGGTAGTACGGGGCGCGGTGCAGGCTGCGCTCCCGCACGATGAGCAGCGCGAACAGCACGTTGCCCGCCAGGCTCACGCACAGCAGCAGGCTGAGCGTGGCCAGCTTCAGGCCCAGGGCGGCCGCCTCGCCGCCGCCGCCGCCGCCCGGCTCGCTAGCGTTCGCCATCGCGGCCTCCCCGGGCCGTGCGCTCCGCTCCCGGGCCTCTCCCGGCCTCGCCGCCCCCCGGGCCTCCCCGCCCGGGTTCCGCCGCCGCGCGGGCCCTCCGGCGAGCTCCCGGCCGGCGGGGATCAGCCCGCGCCCGGCTGGCCCCTCCCGGGCTCTCCGAGCCGCCGCGCCGCCGCCGCCGCCATCTCAGGAATGATGCGCGCAGGAGGCGACGGCCACTCCCTGCACCTCGGGCGTCGCGGGCTTCACTGCGGACAGGGCCGCGCCGCCGCCCGCAGCCCCCCGCATCCTCCGCCTTCTCCTCCTCCTCCGCCGCTGCCGCCGCCGCGCCTCTTGGCTCTGCCCCCCGCCGGGCCCGCCGCCGCCGCCGCAGCCTCTGCCGCCGCCGCCGCCGCCGCCGCCGCGGAGCCCCCTCCCCCTTCGCCGGCGCGCAACGTGGCCGCCGCCGCCAGCCCCGCCGAGGCAGCCCGCGCCGCCGGGGCCGGGCTGGGCTGGGGGCGCCGCCGCGGCAGCCGCGGGCCCGGGAGGCGGCCGGGAGGGAGGCAGGGCCCAGGACGCGAGGTGGCGACAAGTCGCGTTTGGCCCCAGGTAACGGGGGTCCGGCGGCGGCGTCCGGCGCCCGCGCTGGGGTCACGGTGGCCGTGCGCAGGGGGAGGTGGCTAGGGACGGCAGGTCGGGGGGCCTGGGGAGGCGGGGGCCGACCGGAATCTGGGGGTCGAGGCTTCTGGCCGCAAGCTAATGATTAACAGTAGCGATCGTCACCGTCGTCATCCTGTAACCGCCGGGCTTCAGGCGAGCCCTGATGCGGGTGGCAGTCTTGGGGGAGCTCTACAAGCGTTATCTCCCTGACGTTCCCAGCAACTCCAAAGTTGGCTCTATCCTTAACATCACTTTATACCTGAGGGAGCAGAAGCTTGGGGCTCGAGGGAGTTGAGAGCCAGTAAGTGGCCGAGCGGGGACTCCGATTTCGCGGGGTCTGATTGCCAGAGCTGGACTCTCAGGGACTCTGCCGCGTGCCCTACTCTTGGCCTCACCTGTGGTGCCAGTGAAGACTTATGTCAGGGAACAGAAATACAGCATTTTCTCTCAGGTGCACCCCATGACACCTTTCTCCAGGGGAATCTCTTTTCTGGGTGAGCCTGAAAGGGCAGCCCGTGCTCCGGTCGTGAAACACACCAAATTCTCTCAAGGTTTTGCATGTGCCTTTCCCTCTGCCTGGTCCAGCCCCAGAGCAAGCTTCCCACTCTGCGGGCCATCCTTCTGACCAGTCCGCCTTGTTCGGTACTGCTGCCTGCTCATTTTCTTCATAGCACTTATCATTTATTGTTTGGTCGTTTCATTATTTAGACTTCTCTCCTTCCAACCTGTCTGTAAGCTCCATGAAGGCAAGTGGCCATGTCTGTTTTGCTTTTTTGGCTGATTTTATTGTTGTTTGTTTTTTTGGGGTGGGGGGGTCTTTGTTTTGGTTTTGGTTTTGGTGCTACTCTATCCCCAAAACAGAAATGAGGAATATGTTGTTTCTCAGGTACCCTGATTTTTTTTTTTTATTTTTTCTTTTACACAGAACTTTATTTATTGCCCACCTACGATGTGCATGACCAGCACTTTGATGGGCCTTTCCAGGAGAACATAAGCTCATGGAAGGCCTTGACCATCAGGCTAAGGAGTCTAAACTTTAGTCTATAGGCAGTGAGGTAACCTGAAGTATCCCAAGGAGAGTGATATTGTTAGGGCTGTGCTTCAGGAAGATTCTTTTGGCAGTAGTGCTTAATTAAAAGGAAGGACAGAGTAGAGCCTGGAAGTCTAGTCCGAGTCTCAGACTGTAAGGTACACAGAAATCACTGGGATCCTGTTAAAATGCAGATTCTGACTCAGTGGGTCTGGGATGGGGCCAGAGACTTTGCATTTCTAACAAGTTCCTAGGTGCCATTAATGCTACTGGTCCTCACACCACACTGAGTAACAAGGACCTCGAGGACAGTTTGGACCTTTTGTAAAAATTTAAGGGATGGCCAATGACAGTCTGTCTTAGGACTCCTAAAGGGGCCAAGTATAAACAGGTGGCCGACCTTGTAGGTCTGCAATATTTGTTGACAGAAAAGAGAAATAGATTTTGGAGAATATTTTGGCTAGGAATTGCATATTGATACTGGTAGCCTGAATGTGAATGTGTGTTTATTTTCTTCATGAAACAAGAAGTCCGGAGGTCAGTGGTTGCTGGCCTTGAATTATTGGCTCAAGGACGGAATCTCTGAAAGTCTTTTAGCCCTTCCCCTAGGACCTATAAGCTGCTGACGCTCCAGCCATTGCTTCTGCATTCCAGGCAAAAACAAAGGAAAAGTAGGGAAGTGCAAAAGTGTTCCTGCCATTTAAGTAGGCCCCCTCTGGAGAGCTTTTGAGAAGTCTTATCCTACTACAAACACATCATTGGCTACCCCTAGCAGGAAGGGAGATTGGGAAATTGTTGTTGTTTGCTTGGGGTTTTTTTTTTTTTTGAAAGCCAGACCATAGCCAAGAATGAAATCCTGCCTTCAAGTGGACCTTAGCACTTGGGCTGCTTCTGCCCTAAAGAAGGGATGCCTTCTTAGAACCCACACAAAGACACCAAATCTGGTTCTTTTACTGTCATGTTAATGGCAGCCTCTGTTTACAGAGTATTTGCTCTGTACCATGCACCATGCTGAAACCCCTGAATCCCCGATGTTAAATGTTTAACATTAAACATTTAAATCATTGTGAGGGCCGGATGTAGTAGGTACTGGGACAGTCGTTGCTTTGCAGATGAGGTGGACAGGTTAGGTAATCTGTTCAGGCTTTCCCTCCTCATACATGTAAGGGCTGGAATTGGAAGGCAGAGTCTCGACTCTCAAACTCGTAACTTCTGTTTGTATTGTGTCTTACTCATAGCCGCAAAGAAAGTTCCTGAGTTTCTGGAAAGAAAAACAAACAAGAACTACTGAAGTCCATGTTCAAAGATTTATAGCCCCTTCAGAGAGGGAAGGATTTTTCAAAACCATCTTATCTGACACTTTTATTTTAGAGTCTCATTAATGGCTGAATGCAAAGGCGAATCCAGGTCTTTTCACTCTTAGATTGGTTAGTTGAAATAATAATATTAATTGTCCTAATGAACACATGACATTGGACAAGTCACTTCACCTCATGGAGTCTCAAATGTTGCCATTTACAAGACTTATAAGACAGGCTGGTGGACTGTCTGGCGGTCATCACGGTCATCAGTGATGATATTCAGTGTGTCAATGAGAAAATGAAAGTTAAATGATTATATAATCCCAAATGGGATGAGTTTATTCCTCAGAAAAGGACACAAAAGGAGGGACATCTGTCTCTTATAACTTATATTTCCATGTGTTTTCTACTTCTCTCTATGGTTCAGTATGCTTCTGCTTGGGATTCAAGATTTGGTTTAGTTATTTGCCCAAGATCAAATAGCAGAAGCAGCAAAAGAAAATACATATATCATGGCTCTCACAGCATTTACATGACTACGACTTTCATTCTCAACATTTGTTCAGTAGATTAATACTTAAGGAAAAACTATTAACATTTTATTGCCAGAACCAACTTACTTTCCTTTTATTGTTTTTAGGAAGCATCAGACAAGAATTTAAAATATAGTTCTAAGGCACAGACTTAAGTTGCTGCATTTCAAAGCAAAACAGCTCTATGAGACTTTTTTCTATGACCAAAATGTCTGTTCTGCATATAACCAAATTCTTCCTTTTGTACGTAGATAGAAAAGTTGGGATTCCACCCCCAAATCAATTATGTCACTTCTTTTGCTGCACCTGTAGACAGTGTCAGTGGTATTGGGAATCCAAACTAGAGGAACTGGTTGATGCATCTTGACAGTTAGACTCAAAGTCATGGGTCCCATGGTCATGGAAGCCAATTTGGCTGATCTCTCTTGTCCAACTTCAGATCCCTGACTAGTCGCCTGCTAATGGGGGCATTGAATACTGAGTCAGAGAAGATTGGTTTGATTTAAGCCCATCCTAACTCTTAGAAAACATGAGCTAGAGTCTATACCTATTGGATACTGGGTTATCAAAGGAGAGCTCTCACATTAGCCTCTCCATGGGAGGGAGTCATAACTGTAGAAATGAAAAGGGACTGGGAGTTAGTGTACCTGGGTGCACATCTAAACCCCACACATTACGAGGATGCATCTTTAGCCATGTCCCTTGCATCCTTTAAACCTCTGAATCTCAAAGGTCTGTTCTGGGGAAGATTGTCGATATGAACCATTACAAAGAGTGTACACAGGGTGTGCACACAGGTGGTGTGTAATAAGTGATTACTACAGTAACTCTTTTTGCTGTTACCACACTAGCCTTGGCTAACCATGTCTTGATGAGCTTCTGTATTTTTTGCCCCAGCTTAGACTAACAGAATGCCATATACATAGAGGTTCCTCAGAATTTGTGTGGCGGTGTGAAGGTCGGTCTGTAAAATCAAGGCTACATTACTCGTGCCCCTCTTCCTAGGAACCTCATTTCTGACTCTAAATGCTCATTAGGCCTTGCTGGTGGGGAGAGAAAATGTAAACCTTTCAGTGCTTCTTGGGTTTCATCACGACGCCTGCTTTTTCAGGGTGTGCCATAGTCCCACACTGCATGGCAGGCTGTCCTTAAGGAGAGTGTGTGCCTGTGTAGGTCAGGTATTCCATCCAGTGTTTGGTCGGTCGTTGTTGTGGTTTTGTGATTCTTAGCGCCTCCCGCCAGACTTAGGGTTGAGAACCTGAACGGAGATGCCCATGATATCGATGTAGCCACACACCCTCTCAGCACTGTCTAGGATACCAAGTGCAGGTTCCCTGTCTGTCAGAAGCCCCCCTCTCCCCTTCTGCTTCATCCCTGGAGAATCCCTATCTACTCCGACAGTGGGAAAAACCAGTCCTTCCTTGTGTTTCTAGGATTGGGTCAGTTCTCCTAGGAATCTGTGCTTCCAGAATGTAGGTGTTTGGAAAAATAAAAGCC